AAAATTCCCATCAAATGGGAACAAAGTTGTATCTGACTGTGGGACTGAGGCCACTCAATGTGGGCTCCCTCATTTGGTCTCTGGGCCAGAAGAAAGCAAAGTTCAACCTCATTTCTTTTGTCACAGAAATCCTCAAATCCTAAAGTACAACCTGGTACAACAGTAGAAACAGTGTTCCAGGGAGTGATGGGGCAGATCCTTCACACCAGCTATTCCCTGCGATAGATAAAGATTAATAGACCAATGACTAAAGTTACAAAATGTTGAGTGCTCTGGTACTATGCTAATGACCAGGGGATGAACTGAGGAGGATAAGGCAAGCAGTTATGTATTCTATCAAACCTTCAGTTTAGGAGAGCATATCACCCTGCGACTGTTGTCATAGCTTCTTCATTCAGAAAAGACTGCCTCCTGCCTGGTTGTTGGTCCTGGGCCAGAATTCCCTGAAGTCCTGACCCTCACAGCAGTGTTAGTACTTCTTGGAGCATGATGTCCTTACTTACCCATCCCTCCCATGCATCCAGAACCCAAGGCAGCCCTGCTGGGTGGAACTCACAGTTCAGTGGGTTGGTTTCTTAGCTGCCATGTCAATATTGGGATGTTAAATATATAGACTTCAGAAGCAGCGAGCACCAGAAGGTAAAACAGGGCTGACTTAACATTTTGCATTCAGCAACATTCTTTTGGTGAGAATGAGAAGAAAACAGCCAAATTAACACCCCAACCAGTAAGTGGGTAGGAGTCCAGAGGTGCCAGGACAAAGGAATGGCACTCAGGTTCTCCACACTGTGTTAGAGAAAGAAGAAAAGGGGAGTTTGATGGGTAGGAGGCTCATTGGGTCCAAAAATATGAAATGAACTTTCTAGATTACTGTCAGCTTAGTAAGGCAGGAGTGGCCTCTGTGAACCAGGGTTCTACCCAGAACCATCAGTGCCTCTTGCTTCAGCTTCCTGATGTGTTTGTGCATGTTAATTGTAGATATTCTCTTTCCACCAGAGGAGCAAGAGAATGAAGTTTAGCTTCTCACTCCTGCTATGTGGGATGCCCTCTATAACCACTGTCTCTACCCTCTACCTGTTGAGAAGTCACAGGATCTGTATTTGAGTGTGGACTTTATGGCGCAGTCATAAATGTGGGGCACCCACTCTTCTATAAATAAATCCCTACCCTATGCTCTGTTAAAAAGCAATAATAATAATTTTTTTTTAAGTTATCACTTTAGCCGGTGTGGTGGTGCACACCTTTAATCCTAGCACTCGGGAGGCAGAGGCAGGTGGACCTCTGTGAGTTCAAGGCCAGCCTGGTCTACTTAGTGAGTTCCAGGACAGCTGGGGCTACAAGGAGACCCTGTCTCAAAAAGACCAAAAAAAAAAAAAAAATCACTTTAGGCCGGAGAGATGGCTCTGCAGTTAAGAACACTGTTCTTTCAGAAGACCCGGGTTCGAATCCCAGCACCCACATGCCAACATGGCAGCTAACAACTGTCCGTAACTCCAGTTCCAGGGGATCCAACAGCCCCTTCTGTCCTCTGAGGGCACTATGTAACACAGGTATACTTACCTACATGCAGGTAATACATGCATATACATAAAATAAAAATAAAATTTAAGAAAAAAGTTATCACTTTAACCATTGTCAAACATTCAGTTCTGTGCCAGTAAGTATATTCCCCTTGTTGTACAGCCATCACCACCATCCATCTCCAGAACTCTTTCATCTTCCCTAACAGAAACTCTGGCTCATTAAACATAACTCCCCATTCTTACCCAGTCCCTGACAATCCCTGTTTTACTTTATGACTCTGACTGTGACTACCCTCAGTACATCAGAGGAGTAGGATCATGCAGCCTTTGTCCTTTTGTGCCTGACTCCTTTCAGTCAGTACAGTGCCTCAAGGTTCATTCATGTCGCAGGTGTCAGAGTCTGCTTCCTCTGTAAGGCTGAGTAATAATAGTCCATTGTATGTTTTGTTTATCCATTAACCTGTAGGTAGATAATTAGATAACTTTCACCTTTTGAACATTGTGGATAATTCTGTTCTGAATATAAGTGGACAGATCTACTTACAGTTCTTTCAAGTATCCAGAAGTGGAATTTCTGGATGTATATTTAATTTTTAGAGGATCTACAATACTGTTTTCTCTAATAGTTGTAGTTTTACATTCTCAACAGAGTAGAAGAGTTCCAGTTTCTCTACATCTTCACCAAGACTCATTATTTAGGTTTTAAAAATAATAGCCATCCTAGGCTGGGCGTGGTGGCGCACGCCTTTAATCCCAGCACTCAGAGGCAGAGGCAGGCAGATCTCTGTGAGTTCAAGGCCAGCCTGGTCTACATAGTGAGTTCCAGGACAGCTGGGGCTACAGGGAGACCCTGTCTCAAAAAGACCAAAAAAATAATAATAATAATAAAATAGCCAACCTAATGAGTATAAGATGTTATCTGTTGCAGGAGTTTTTTTTTTTGGTCTTTTTGAGACAGGGTCTCCCTGTAGCCCCAGCTGTCCTGGAACTCACTATGTAGACCAGGCTGGCCTTGAACTCACAGAGATCTGCCTGCCTCTGCCTCCAGAGTGCTGGGATTAAAGGCATGTGCAACCATGCCCCGCCCGTTTCAGGAGTTTTTGTTGTTGTTGTTGCATTGCTGGGGACTGAACCCAGAGCCTCGAAAATTCTAAGCAAGTGTTTTGCCACTGAGCTATATCCCCAGCCCAAACATACAGTCCAGACTGGCCTCAAACTCTTAATCTTCCTACTTCATCGTCTTCAGCATTTGCCTCCTACTGTGTGCTGCCACAACTGAGTTGTTGTAGTTTTGGTTTACATTTCCCTAATGCATTAATATATTTGTTCACTACTTATATATTTTCTCTGGAGAAGTGCTGATTCAGATTCTTTCCCCATTTTTTTTTTTTTTAATTTGAGGTTCTGTAGCCCAAGTTACAGAACTTGTGATCATCCTGCCTCAGCCGCCTTAGGATTATAAGTGTGTGTGTGCCACCATGCCTGGCACCCTTCTCTGTTTTTTAAATTTGTTTTTGTTTTTTTTTTTCTTTCTTGAGTTGCAGGAGTCCCTTATATGTTCTGGACATTTAATTTTATCATATTATGATTTTGCAAGGAGTTTTTCCCATTCTGTGGGTTGCCTTTTTACTCTGTTGCTTTATTTAATTGACAAAACAAGCTTTTGATCATTCAGTAGGAGAAAGGACAGTCCTGTTAGTTAAAAAAATTGGCTCTCTACATACAAAAAGATGAGATTGGACCCTTATCTTTCATGCATGGGGGTGGGGGGTGTTGGTCATGTTGAGGATCAAAGCCAGGGCCTGTGCATACTGATTACCTGCCACTGAGCTATGCCATTGAGCTACAGCTCTACTCCAGAAGTTTTAAATTTTGATGTGGTTCAGTGTCTCTATTTTTCCTTTTGTGGCTTGTGCCTTTAGTGTTAGATCTTTGAAATCATGCCAAATCCCATGTCATGAAGCTCTACCCCTATGTTTTCCTCTAAGAGTTTTATAGTTTTCAGCTCTTTTTTTTTTTTTTTTTTTTTTTTTTTTTTTTGGTCTTTTTGAGACAGGTTTCTGTTAGCCCCAGCTAGCCTGGAACTCATGTAGACCAGGGTGGCCCTGAACTCACAGAGATCCACCTACCTCTGCCTCCTGAGTGATGGGATTAAAGGAATGTACTACCATACCTGGCTTCAACTCTTTATGCTTATATCTTTAATCCATTTGGAGTAACTTTTGTGTATGGTATAAGAAAAGGATCCAACCTCATCCTTTTGATGTGAGAGTCAGTTTTTTTTCAGTACCAGGATTGTCCTTTCCACCATTGTATGATGGGAAGGTTGTTTTGTCAGTTAAATAAAGCAATGTATTTCACATCAAGTACCCAATACCATGTGTGTTAGTCAGCTTTATGTCATTGTGACAAATCCCTGAGATAAATAACTTGAAAAGAGGAAAGGTTCACAGTTTCAGTCCATGGTTAGTTGGCTCTGTTGGTGGGAAACATGGGGGAGTAAAGCTGTTCACCTTATGGTAGCCAGGAAGCAAAGAGAAGGAGAAGAAGGGATCAGAGTCCCCAAGTCCCCTTCAAGGGCTTGTTCCTAATGACCTTTCACACAGTGCAACCTCCCACAGCTTCCACCATCTCCCACTAGTACCACAGACTGTCAACCATGCCCTTGACCTTAGATCTTTGGAGGGTATTTTAAGATCCAAACTACAATGTCTTACCTACAGCAGCTTACTGAATGTTCCCTTCCTTCTCCTTTTCTGAGATGTGGTTTTAACTACTAAAGTTTATTTTTCATAATTATAATAGTAGATATCTATAGAGGACAGACTGTGTGTCAGGCTGAATTCTAAGGGTTTACACATATTAAGCCATTTAATTTTTCTAATCATTTTATGGGGTGGATTTTTTTTTTTTTTTTTTGCGGGCGGCCCCGGCGGCTGCGTACTGGCTGTGGGATGGGAAGTGAAGCCCCAGCGAGCTGCTGCGGCGGGGCGGGGGGGGGCAGCCCGCG